ATTTTTTTTTTTTTAAAGTCTTTTTTTTTTTTTTTTGGGTTGCGCAGGCCCCCCCACCACTGCGGCCTCTCCTGCCGCGCAGGCCCAGCGGCCACGGCCCACGGGGCCAGCCGCTCCGCGGCATGTGGGATCCTCCCGGACCGGGACACAAACCCGCGCCCCCTGCATCGGCAGGAGGACCCTCAACCACTGCGCCACCAGGGAAGCCCAAGACTTTTTTTCTTAAGAGCAGTTTTAGGTTCACAGCAGAAATGAGAAGATACAGAGATTTCCCTTATTCGCACGAATGCACAGCCTCCGCCAATATCAACATCCCCCACCAGAGTGGTACGTTAGTTACAAATGATGAACCTACACATCATAATCACCCAAAGCTATAGTTTACATTAGGGTTCACTCTTGGTGTTGTACATTCTATGGGTTTGGACAAATGTATAATAACATATATGGTATCATTATGGTGTCATACATATTTTCACTGCCCTAAGAAGCCTCTGTGTTCTGCCAATTCATCCCTCTCTCCTTCCCCCAAACCCTGGCAACCACTCATCTTTTCACTGTCTCTATAATTTTGTCTTTTCTAGAATGTTATATAGTTGGAATTATACAGTATATAGTCTTTTCAGATTGGCTTCTTTCACTTAGTGATATGCATAGATCTGAATTTTTAGCAAACTCCCTGGTAATACCTGAGGCAGGCACGTAATCCATCAACTACGCCTAGAGAAGGACTGGTGTGATGGGAAGAGAAATAACAGGGAGATCAACGAATGTGTTTTATTTCCAGTGATGCCACTTACTTTGACCCTGGGCAAATCACTTCACACTCTGGGTCCCAGTTTCTTCACTTGTGAAATGAGGGGCGTTGGGCCCTTCCAACTCTGACACTCCAGGATTCTGTGAGGCAGGATTGTCGAGGGCCCGGCCCCCCAGGAAGGAGCCTGGGTGGGGAGGCTCTGGAGCCCCCAGCTATGCTGAATGGGTCTCTGTGAGCTACCTCTGGAGGTCTGGCTGAGAAGGACTGTGGCTCTGGGTTCAATGTCTGCAGGTATCAGGGGTAAATGGGGCTCAGAAGATCTCAGCCCTGCTACAGGCAAGGGGCATCCAGCTAGCCTTCATTGTGGATGAGGGGAGCTCCATCTTGGATGGTTTCATTCCCAACCTCCAGAAGCCCTTTGCCATGTGAGTAAAACATCCCAGCCCCCAGCTTGGAAGGCGTTCTCACCCCATTAGAGTTGACCTCAGCCTGGTGTCTCTAGGCCATGCTGAAACAACTCTTTTTTTACTCCTCTTGCTTTAATCACCCCGATCTTCGACCAGGTCTGGGCTTCCCTTTCCCTTCCCCCTCTAGAGTAAATTTTGTTAAGCAGCATGAAGCTGACCTCCTGACCCACCAGACACTGCACAGATGGGCCTGGGGCCTATGGGATCATTCAGGGTGGGAGGAGGTCAGGAGGGCCCTCTCTGACCCTCTCCTACAGGGTTTCAGTCTCCGAGAAGGGTGCAATTGACCTCATGCTGCAAGTAAACATGACTCCAGGCCATTCTTCAGCTCCTCCAAAGGAAACAAGCATTGGCATCCTCGCAGCTGCTGTCAGCCGGTAAGCAATTCCTGGCCCTGCTCCCTTGCCAGACTCAGGCTGGAAGACCTGGCATTTTCCCACTTTGAGTTTGAGGAAGCTAAGCTTCTTGTCCTGAAGCTGGGCTGAGAAGCCGCCATGGGGGCTGCGGGAAGGACAGTGGGTTAGACATCAGAAGAGGATCTATCCATTATGGCAACTAAGGGCCAGCAGACAAAAGCTAGGTTAGGTAACTGGAATAGTCCAAAGTCCAGGCCTGAAGTTAGAGCTCACAAGCTGGAAAAGAACTGTCTAAATTCTCCACCTGCCCTGGCAAGGTAACTAAGGTAGATAAAGCCTGCTGGCTGTGGGTCCAGGTCTGTAACAGCAGAGCTTACCTCTGGCCAGTTTTCTTGCAGAGTAGGAAGAATTATTTTCATTCAGTTAAATATTTAACTATCTACCATGTTAAGACTTTGTGCCCAGTGATGGGCATACAGACAGTCCCTTTCCTCTAGGAACTCAACAGTTAGCGGAAGAGACTGACAATTTGGCTGCAGTGTGGTAGGTGCAATGAGACTGGGGGTGCCTACCTTGGGCTTGGTAGACAGGGACAGCTCCTGCTGGTGGAGCAGAGGTAGCCCCACTTGCGCTTTGAGATCTTGGAACGGTTGGATTGGTGGAGGTGATGGGGAGGTGAGTGGGAGGCCTCCTGGCCAGGCCTGTTGAAACGTCTTATCTCTCTCCTTCTCTTCAGACTGCTGGTCTTAGACTGAGCTGAGTGAGTCTTGAGAGCTCCATTTCTCTTCCAGACTGGAGCAGACACCAATGCCGAACATGTTTGGAGGCGGGCCGTTGAAGATGGCATTGCAGCAGCTGGCAAACGAGGTATGAGAAGGAGTCTCGCAGACCCCTTGTCAGCTGTGGAAGAGGAAGAAAGTGTGACGGAGAAGTTGCCTTTCGAGTAATAAAGGAGCCCTACTGCTGATCAGTGCTCTGCCCATTCTCCCCTGTTCCCAGCCTGTGGCTGAGCCCAAAATGCAGGGATCCAGCTTGTTCTTTGGGGCTGTTGGTGCTCAGGCTGAGAACCTGAGACCTAACAGCGGGCAGCCTGAGGGAGCTGGTTCCCACTCATCCTTGAGGCTACTGCCAAGTGCCCTCAAGGCAGATCCAAAGTAGGGAGAGACGCAGGCCCCAGAACAGTGAGCCTGTTATGCTGACCCCTCTGAAATCCTGCTGACCTGCTTCTTTCCCTTTCAGTTCCCCTTCCCGACCAACATAGTCTTGAGCAACCTGTGGCTATTTCAGCCCCTTGTAAGCAGGTAAAGTTTTATCTTTCTGTCCCTCACATCCCCCACCCCAAACCTACCCACTTCCCAGTCCCCTCTCTTTGGCTTAACTGGGCCTGACTAACCATCCCTCAGCCACCAGACACTACATCTAATTTGTACATAGGACATCCCTCCTTGTCTTAAGGATCTCCAAGGTTCAGGAAAGGGGGTAGTCCGACAACCCGTTCTTTCTTTCCATTGTACAATGTCTTACCTTAGTCCTTCTACTTTAGGTCGATGGAGAGGAATTACATAACCAATGCGCTGGTCAGGACCACCACGGCACTCACCATGTTCAATGCAGGGGTCAAGGTAACACCACCTGGTTCCTCCCACACACCCCTCCATCCCTTGGCTTTAATCTCCTGGCTTCTCCTTCCTTCTCTGGTTACAATTTGAATAGTAGGAAGGCCCAGTGCCGAACTGTCCTGTGTCATCAGATGGGTAAGCCTCAAGAGCAAGGGTTCTAAGCTGACGTCTACAAACTCCGTGAAATTGCTGGCCAAGTTTCATATATGTGCATTTCAGGGGCACCCCTCGGGTTCTCTGGGTCTGTACCCCTTCAAATAAACAACCATTACGCTGGTATGAAGAGGCATTATTTGGGAGTTAATTCTTGTGACATATACTCATTCAACATGTAATATATTAATTTAGCATTTTGGTCACATAGGCTTAAAGATTCCCAACCTCCCTACCACCTTTTTATTATTCTTCCTCATATTTTGGAAGATTTATTCACCTCACAGATTTAATGAATGATGAATATATTTTCTCGTAGTGTTACCCTGAATTGAATGAGAGAAACTCACCTGCCATTTAAAAAATCTATAACATTTGTGATATACATAACACTTAAAATACATACACTGTCATTCCCCAAGATACAGTAAATATTGGGTGGCCTTTGCAAACGTAAATTCTATGAGGTTTACTTTTTTTTTAGCCACGCAGCGAGGCTTGTGGGATCCTAGTTCCCCAACCAGGGATCAAACCCCAGGCCCTCAGCAGTGAGAGCGCAGAGTCCTAACCACTGGACCACCAGGGAACTCCTCAGGTTTACATTTTATAGAAATAAGTTTCAGGTGAACCAATACTTTGATAACTTTTTTTCCAAGAACTACTTTTCAGCAAATTGGTCTACTTCCAGTTGGACTAGCCACTAAGGGGCTTGTCTGTTTGAACTAGCCACGCTAGCTCGCCTGGTCTGAGGCCTTTCTGAAATCTGGAAAGGAGTTAGACCATTCCAGTTTCTACCAGTACCACCAGCACAAATTCAAGGAGCACCATTCACCTAGAATACAGTGTGGCCTTGTGGAGCCCTGGTACTGTGCAGCCCGGGTTGAGTGTAAGTGAATGGTGCCTCAGAATTCACTCCTGACGTAACTGTGTGTCAGCCAGGCCCGAGTGTGTCTGGCGTGTCAGCCAGGCCCGAGCTGGCTTCACCAGCTGCCTAGAGAGTTCACCAAAATAACAGTACTGTGTGCTTGCATTTGAATGGTGTTTTTATCTGTCCAGAATACTTTCACATTTGTTATTCCATTTGGTCCTCCTCACAGAGGATTATTGCCCCAATTGCCAATTGAAAGACAGAGACACAAAGAGGTTGTCATTATTCAAAATCACATGGCTAATTTATAACAGCCAGTTCTCCTGTCCCTAGCCTGGTGCTTTTTTTGCACCATACCAGTTCAAAGAAAGATAGGCAATTGGGGAATCTGTTCTCTCGCGGCCTCTGGGGGAAAATTCCCTCCATAGCTTAACTCTTCTCCAATTAGTCTTGGATTTTTCCTGGTCAAACAGAGTCAAATTTTGCAGCTGGATGTGGGAAATCACCATCACCATCACCACCACCATTATCGTGATCAACCCCCTCAGGGCCATGATGGGGCCTCAGATGCTCTGGGTGCCCTATCCTGAGTAAGGACTAACGCTGACCGCTGCAGAAATGTCCTGGGTGCCCTGGGAAAGAGCACACACAGAAGACTGCCAGTGGCACTGCATGGGGCCAAAGCAGAGGTGTCCGTGCACTCCCAGAAAAGGCAGTCTTGCTCTGAGCATCTCTCTGTGACCCCCTCCAAGACCAAGAAGCATGAAAGTCTGGCCTGAAGCAGAGACACACCTCTGGCGTTGAACACATGTCAAGGGCCCAGAGAAGACAGGGGCTGACTGAAAAAATTAAGCCTTGGATTTTTCAATCAAATCAGCTTCCTCTCCCCATGCAGGTGGTAGTTGGCACTTCCTGGGCAGGGGTCAGGTGTGGGGGGCTTGAGGTCGGCTCAGCCAGGATTTGTGGGTCTCTCTCTAGGTGAATGTCATCCCCCCTGTGGCCCAGGCCACCGTCAACTTCCGAATTCACCCTGCACAGACAGTCCAGGAGGTACGTACCATGTGTTCCTGACAACTGAGTCAGCATCAGTGAGATGTGTCTGTCGGGACTGGGGTGGAGCTGCAATCCCAGGCCTGGCCCAGGCTCTCATTTGTTCAATGATTTTTCAAAGGCTTCCTGTGTGCCAGGTGCTTGGCTGGGATAGGAGATCTCTGGCTTGGGGGAACTTGGAGCCTGGGGGTGGGAGATGAATGATAATAATAAGTGACAAATAGGAAATGATAACAATAGTAGCAAACACAGGCAGTGAACTTTCTGTGCTCTTGGCACTGTTCTCAGGTAGACACATACTCATTTAATCCCTACAACCACTCTATGAAGTAGGAAATATATTATCCTCATTTAACAGGGAAAACAGAGGCACAGGTCAACAGAGGAGGTAAATAACATGCCCAGGATTATACATCCAGCACTAGTTCCGGAGTCTGTGCTTTTAGCCACTACACTATACGTGGATTATAACAAATAGGACTGAACAAATTACCACAGGACCAGTGCAAAGAAGGGGGCTGATGCTACCTCTGAGGATCAAGAAAGTCTTTTGTGATCACTAGAAATGTGAACTGGGACTTAAAGACAAATAGGACTTTGCTAGAAGTAAGACATTCAGAATACAGCTAAAATAAAGTCTAAAGAGTTGGATAACTTGGGGGAGAAGTAATGGAAGATGAAAATGGAGTTGTAGTTTGGGGATCAAGGCCTTGTATGCCATGCCGAGGAGTTTGGGCCCTAATCTGTGGACAAAAGGGAACTGTCAGAGGTCTTCAAACAGGGCTGTGATAGACTCAGATTCTTTTTTAGGGAGACAGTGCTAGTGGTGATGCTGAGGAAGCCCTGGAGTAAGAAGAAACAGTTAAGCTGTTGCAACATCTCAGGCAGTGGGTGTAGAGGTTTGAGCTAAGGCTGTGGTATGGGGTGAAAGAGGGGACCCACCAGAGGGGGGCGGGAGAGGTGGGGTCAGAAGGT